AGAGAGAGAGAGAGAGAGAGAGAGAGAGAGAGAGAATGTGTGCTAGGTACTGAACTCAGGTCCTCTGGAAGAGCAATAAGCACTCTGCTGCTGGGCCATCTCTCCAATGATTTGAAGAGTTAACAGTGATTTGAAGTAATGGGGACCCTTGAAAAGAATCTGGGGCATACATCCCCCTACTCTACTTGGTCTCTGTAGCTAGAGCACAGCCTCAGTCAAGTAAGGCTCTGAAAAATGTCAACACAGGGAGGCTTTTCAATGGTGGTTATTCTGGGACAGTCTAATCTGAAGCCAACACTTATCTCCCACCCAAGAAAGGAACTCAAAAGTCCCACTACAGGGTTTAAATCTCTATAATTAGAAGAAAGATGGTGTTGGAAAATACACACACAAACGCAGAGGAATAATCTGTCCATTCGGAAAAAATACTCAAGTGGTTTGTGGGAAAATATTTAGGATAAAGACAGGACAGGGAAGGAGCAGAGGGAGTAAGCCTAACGTTTCTTAGTGAGTCAGGGACTCACTGACAGCAAATGTTTGTTAGCCCTGGAGAGAGGCAGCAACATCCAAAGTCTTCCAGCTGAAGAGCCCAGCCGCTGCTCTTAAAGACAATTTTAGTTTAGAATGAACCATTTGTTTTCAGAATGAAAGAGTGTTCATACCAGTTAGCTTAGAAGGACTGTGAATATGGCTTCAGCAAGTGCATGGCATGCACAAAGGAGCACACACCCCACTTTTTCTGAGTCACACTCTTCAGTGTATGGGTTGAGGAAAGAATGAAAGACATCTTGGGTTTCACTTGTCCATCAGGGAGTCCGCTGTGACATGGCAACTCCATCTCAGGGCTGTTTGTTTGTCGTTATGTACAGATGCCAAGTACCCCAAAAGAGAATTTTCCAGAAGGTTTAGATGATGCTTAAGTCAGTCTATGAACTCTTAGGACTATCTTTGAAAAGTAACTATCTCAAGCTGAATGCTTGGTTTCTAGAAACTTAAAGCAATTGTAGTTGATTCACAGAGAGGACTCTTAATGGATGTTGATTGCGAGTCTCTGATATTCTGATATATTCACCCCCTTTGCCTGGGCTGGAAACAGCTCCTCTCGGCCAGTAGGGCCACGGGTGAACAAGTGCCTTAATTTACCCACTGTGTGCCATTCTCCATGGGTAAGTTATGAAAGGGCTAAGAGGAACTGCTGACGGGCCTCTCATATGTGTGGATACATGGTTGTAGCTGTGCAT